CATAACGAGGTGATGATCCACATCTTCTCATGATGATGTCAAAAGTCGAAATAATGTCATATATAAAATCGGTGTCTGCATAGCAGTGTGCATTGAAGACAAATGGCCGTAGATAAGTCCTTCCAAGAGTATCATTGTTGCCATGAGGTGGTGGAGTCGTCAGCGTGACCAAGTGAGCTGCAATTAAAAACCGAAGGAAAAATATGATTCTACCAGCTAAGCTCTGCCTGGAACAAGAGGTTGCTCTTGATATCCGTCCTGTTTGCCCGCTATGACAATTCTTAATAACATGAGGTACCGAAGATGTTTTAGCAGGCCCCATATATCTTGTATAAGAAGTAACCCGGGTGCTTATTCAATCAAAAACTTGGATTCATGACGTCAGGATAGTATTTGATATCAGAAGTAGTGTTAGGACAAAGGCATGTCCCGTGCATTGTAGCAACGACATATGCTCTCTGTTACATGTGCTTTCATGGTATCATGCGATTAATCTGCAGTCTAGAACAACCATACAGTTCCAATAACAATTTATGGTTTGTTTTGTTTCTTTTAATTCACTCCAAGTGCCCCGTTATTATTGTTTGGTGCTTCAGTTTATTGCAAAAGTAGAGGTGAAATGTATGGGAAGGCTGGTGTGAATATCCTTATGGCAATGCTCGTATTTGTTCTATGGCGTATAGAATAATTGTACTTTGATTCATAAAGTTCAAAGACAATCAAACAATCACCCCAACAAGATATGAGAAATAAGGCAATAGATTTTATGATGAAATAGCTGCTAGTAATGGGCACAAGGGCACTTTAATTACAAAGCCTAAGTTGTGGCTGGTCCTACTATTCTCAATATGTCTCTAGTAGAGTCACTTGTGACAAATCTATGCTTGTATCCAAGCATCATGTTACGCTAGAGGTGTAATCATATTCAAGGATATTGACATTATGGAGTCGGACATCGATGGCTTCTTTATGATCTGTATCTCTTAATATGTGAGCATAATATGTGTTTACACTATCATTAGTTTTTTTTTAAAGTCTAATTTGAGAGATAATTTATCGATTTTTTCCTATGAGCGCACACAATACCAAAAAAAAACACAACAGAACAACTTAACTAAATAATGGTTGGATCGTCTGGGTGCATGTGGTAAATTATGAAGTCATGTTTTTTCCCAATGAGAAAATTCCAAGATAGATAATTAGTGCTACGAACCATCCTTCTCTAAGTTCGTATACAGTATACATTAGTCTAAGAACTTAATATACAATAAGCAGCAAAAATTGTTAAAAGAAGGAATGAAATTACCTGACTTGACAATTCCTCCTGGTGAGAACAAGTCTGTATGAGAATATTCCAATGGGATTATGTATATTCGAATTCTTGGGCCTCATCAATTTTCGAATAGTTGGTATCTATCTATGTAGGTCCTGCCTTCCACGAATCAAGTGGTACACTGTGATTCATCTCAGATTCATATCGTTTAATTCTTATTGATTAACTCTTGGGTCGAATATCAAGCATCGACCCTCTTGGTCTCGTTTTAATAGACTGACCTCTGGGTTGAGCATCTGCTGAATATATTTGGATAAGTCTTGCTTATCAACATCTCTTTATTGATTCAAGTAATTGACCTCTTGGGCCTTTTTGGGTTTAGATCTCAAATCAAAATAATCAAATATAAAGTATCTCTGTTATGCAATTCTTATCCAATAATTCATACGAAATCATGGGCCATTTGTTGGATCTCATGTATTTTACCATTAAATATGCAAAACCAACCTGGGTGTAGAAAACATTCATCAAGATATACTAGTCACATGGGCCAGGGGAAGAGCCTTTGAATTCTTGAAGCCACAAGATTATTTATTCAAGATTCTTGAACGATCACAACAAGTGATGTCCAAAAATTAGTAATGTGAACAGTACTCCACCTGGGAGTAGCCTCTCCTTGATCAAGCTTGATTTTAAGCCAATTTTCACCTTGCGTAGTGGCACACTACGTCAAAGATTAATACTTCCCTCATGGTTCATATGCTAAGATCATCAACTATTTTCTAGGAAAAACTTATGCTTATTATCAGTGGGATCATGTGTAGCTTAAGTCTTGGGCCTCACTTTCCATAGATCATATGCCTACTAGGAATCAAGTCACACACTTCGATTCCTCTTAGAGTTGTCTCATTCAATTTCATCAGCTGACCCCCTTGGGTAATTTTCCCTTTGAATTCCAATCTCGGATCATAATAGCCTGACGTGATGTATCATAAAGAAAATATATTTTTCATTTTGAAATCCTTACTCGTCGTAGCATATTGAATCAAGCTCCATGCTAGTTGATCACATATATGCACACAAATATATCATGAGATTTCATCACTTTTTTGTGGTGTTGAGTTCCGACCCTCTTTGGTCTCTTTCTCATTAGCTGACCCTATTGGTCCAGTGCTTCCTTGCATTGGGATTAAGATTGATCACAAAGCATAATAAAAATTGAATCATCTCAAAGGCACCATATTTCATTTTTTATCACTCTGTGCTCACGTCGAATTCAAGCTAAAACTAAGTTTTATAATGTGAAATAAACCAGAATATAAAAGAATTCCATCTCTTCTTGTTGAGCCCATGGGACCCAAATAAAGGGTATTTCACTTCTTCTAGTATGATCGTCTGTCCAGTTGGCCACATTGATCTAATTTCTCTTTAAGATCTCATGATAATTGAGTTATGTCCGAAGCATAATATAGCATAAAACATAAAATCATACCTTTCTCAAGGATCTCTTACCCTTCAAAGCATGTCAGATTGGGGGTTGCAGGCATTGATCACATGTATGTATACTCCTTAGACATCAAATATGCAAAGCAAAGTCAAAGGATTCGCATACAATTGGGATGCTATGTAGGGGCTTATACGAAGAGATCCAAAATTCCATATTCTTTTATCTCCATAGATGTTCCACTGATTTCTCATGCGACTTGTGAGTTCTTGGTTTAATACAAAGCTGGCAATTTGTTGCAGTATTCGTTGGCATGATGGTTGATTTGTAAGTACTCAACACTATCATTTCCCACAGACGACGCCAATTGTAGGGGGAAAACTCTGTACTTATCAGAATAAAGAGAGTTGTTTGGAATGAGCACTCGGGATCACCCATAACCTACAAAACGAACGAATGAACTGCCACAAACTAGTGGGGTACTAGTCGGAGGTATTCCGATGCTTAAGTCAGTAATGACACGAGAGTGTGTATTCAATTTACTAGAAAAAGTGTGCATACCTTAGATTTAAGCTTTATCAGTATTTATAGGGAGCCAGTCCCAATTATTTAGGACTACAGTCCTCGGTGGAATATGGTAATATACCTAGATTCTAGTCAAACATTCCTTAATTCGTGTTTGAACGTTACAGGGTTTTCTTTCTCATTAGTTGATTTAAGTCACATGTTGATTATGCTATTTTATGATTTAGGCAATTTCGTTATTGGCTGACTAACACTGTCTTTGATTTTTCGGGATATCCTAGTTTTCTGCTCGGTTGGGATATCCTAACTATCTGCTTGGTTAGACCTAATTTAGTTTGGCTAGGATAGCCTAACTATTTGTTCGGTTGAATCTTATGCTTGGTCATAGTAGAGTCATTACAAATAACTCTTTTCAGCATGTGCAAACCTGCCATGTGTCCAAGTCCTATTGTCAGATGATGATCAGAGTTTATCAATCCCTTCACTGTCATTCATCAAAATCCCTAGTGGGCTTTTTTGAATCCGGTTGATACCAAGTGAATTTACATGACTGAAATTGTGTATATTTTTTTGGATCCTGTTTGCACAAGTGGCTGCCATTCTATTTGAATCCACGTTGTTACTCTAATATTTATAGTATTATTCCAGGCCATTTATGTATTTGTATATGAACTAGTGGTAAGCCCCATAAAATGTTCAGGCTTGGAAAAGATGAGAAAAGGTGACAGAATATGTTTCTATCTCAGATTTCAAGTGTAAGCAATACCCAAAAAAAAGGAAAAATACAAAAAGGAGAACTTTTATAAATAGATATGCATGCTTTTGGGCAAGTACATTATATTTTAGAGTCACATAAGATTAGGGAAATAAAAATTACAAGTTTAAATTTGTGCCACAACTATTGGTTATCATATCCTGGTAACCTAATTTGTTGAAGCAAAGATGTACTCTCACAGATAAGTAATTTGGGCTTGCAAAGAGAACAACCGAAAGTGGTGTTAGGCAAACTCAAACAAAGGGAAGTATTGTGAAATAATTTACTTTGGTTGCAACCATGTTAGGAAATGACATGATGGAAGGAAACAAAATTCCCACTTTGTGGGTAACTATCTTCTAAGTATCATGTGTAGATCATATAGTTTTGGGATTTTTTTGTTCGGGAATCATAGAAAGGTTAATCTTGCCTACTATTAATAACCACAATTGTTGGATCTCCTAAATTATTTAGAACACAGCATAGTGACTAAGGATTTGTTGGCAATTTTGGTTAAAAGGGAAGAAACTATATTACAGAGATGAGGTGGTTCATCAAAAGTAGAATAAAAAGAAAAGAACCGAAGATGATAGAATGTAAAAAATAAAAATAGAAGAGGGTAGAAAGTGGCACAAATTGAAAGGTAGAAGGTTCTTTTGAAAAACAAGAAGGAGAATCAGTGGAAAAAATGAACTACATGTGTGGCATAAATATAATGTAGTGAGAGCATATCGGGAAAATAATAATGGGAGCTGATAGCATTACCACTACTTTTTCTTGTAGGCAGTGAATGATTTTATATATGAACTTTTTGTAGGATTTACTTGATGAAAGGTAGTTTAGTGCTTTGTGTGGGTTTTTTTTTTTTGGGGGGAAGGGGGGGGGGGGAGTGTATTATATAGTATATTTTTCTTGCAGTATGTGAATTTCTTAATGTTACTGTTTTTTTTTTTTTGAAGTGGGATGGAGTATATTCGTGTACCCTAATTGCTATGTATATGTAGATGCATTCACTCAGAAGGGAGTTGAGCGAAGGACTTCGTCCTCTCCATGAAACTTTTGTTGCTTTGATTCGTTTGTTTGGTTCTAAAGGCCATGCTACCAGAGGCTTAGAAATACTTGCAGCAATGGAAAAGCTGAATTTTGACATCCGCCAAGCTTGGCTGGTTCTTATTGGTACTGTGCCCCCCACCCAATCAAAAAAAAGAAGAATAATAAATGACTTCCTGACATGATTAACGTTGTACGAGGTGTTTTGTTTCGTATTTGAGCAATAAATCTAAATTGGCCATATTCTTGAAACCAGAGGAGCTTGTTAGAAGCAATCATCTGGAAGATGCCAATAAAGTCTTTCTGAAGGGTGCCAAAGGAGGGCTGAGAGCTACTGATGAGCTTTATGATCTTCTTATTGAAGAAGACTGTAAAGCTGGGGATCATTCCAACGCATTAACCATAGCCTACGAAATGGAGGCAGCAGGAAGGATGGCAACCACTTATCATTTCAATTGTCTTCTTAGCGTACAGGTATTTCTCTTAAATTTGTTGACAGCGTTGACCTCCTTACATGTGTGTTTTTGGTTTTCCTACTTAAGAAAAGGTCAGCACTCCTATTTGCTACTGGGGTACGCATCCATAAGTTTTCATATCTTCTGTAAACAGTGTGGGTATTTGTGACAGTCTAGTGTAATTTTAATCCATTAGTGGTTTACCAACTGTGAAGATTGAGAATGTTATTCTGGCAGCAAAATGGATAGCGTCAACCAGAGGCATGTAATTTGATTTGCTTTCTGGGTTGAAAAGGAAAAAAGAATGTTTAGAGAGAATAATTTCATTTGTGCTAATGGAGAAATAATTTCCGAATATGAGATATAGAAATGGTGGAATTATGCCCCTTTAGACTGTCACTGTGTGCAAATAATGCCAAACGTTAAGTTTGTACCCAACCCATCTATTCCAGACCCCAATTAATAGGGGACTAAACTGGGTATTATATTTTATGTAGTGCAGACAACTTACTGAAGTTTGCAGTGATGTTTAAGCGTGTTGTTGTCATATTGCATTTCTGTTCTTTTTTTCCTTTTTTTGTGAAGTTAAGTTCATAATATTCAATAATCTTACTGTTGTAGTGTTATGCAGTTTATATATTTTGTGCTTTGAATACAACAATCTGAAAGTTGTGTTAATCATATTATGTTATGCACACCAAAAAATTGGTACTCGTACATGATTACATTATAGTTCAAAAATCAAAGCGTCCCAGAGTATCTCCATGGTGGTTGGGAAGCATTTCCCTAGTATCTCTGGGATGCTGGCAATGACCACTCAACTAGGTGTATTCTTGTGAATGAGGAAAAAGGGAAAATTAATTTGGTTGGTTAATGATTACAAACTCATTTAGTTTGGACCCAACTGTTTTGATTACAACTTCTACTTATACCAATATCTTAATTTTTTCCCTTTTGGTAGGCTACTTGTGGGATACCTGAAATCGCTTTTGCCACATTTGAAAACATGGAGTATGGAGAAGGTTTACATTTTGTTTATATTTGTGCTTATACATGTTTAAATTTTTTCTTTGATTGTTCAGCTCAGTTATAAATTGCAGAATCCGTATAATGTATCCTACATGTTGAAAACAGTGGATTTTGTTTCTGCAAAATCTGATGCGGAAAGGAACTTGAATTTCATGAGAGATATTTATGACTATCTAATGCCCTCTTGTTTTCTCTCATAGCTTATTTCCAAGAAGGCTTTCCATCATATTTTGGTGATGGCATGACAGTTTAATTTCTTTTGTGAGAACTTGTTTTAACAATGCAATGTTTCAGTCTTGATGTAATCACCTGCAAATATACTCCATCTATCCGAATAATATGGTCCAACTTTCCTTTTTGGTAAATCCCAACATTAGAGTCTAATTTGAAAAGTCAAAACCTTTTCATTTAACACACCCAATATGCCTTGATGGAAGTTATGATAAGTATCAAAAAGGTAAAAAAAATCATATTTTATGGAAGGGTAAGATTAATAAGTAAATGTTTCCCATTACGATTCAAAGCTATTCCTTAACAAGGGATTACATAACCATGTTTTACTCTATGCAAAAAGCAAACATACTTGTATACTAAGTAGGATAACTTAGTGGTTCTAAGAGTTCACCCTCACCAACCAATAGACATAAAAACAACGTGTTCCCTAGTGGATTAAGACTCGGTGCGCGCTCCCTTGTCCCGTGTCACACAAATGCACACATGTATTACTGACGTTCTTGTTGACAATGAGAGTTTGGGAAATTAATGTAATTGCAGCTTTTATTATCTACATATTTGCTTGTATTTGTGTGCATATAGTAACCCACTGACGTGTTATGGACTATGGATCATTCCTTAATTATTCTCGCGACTTTCTCTCTTAGACCTCTAATACTAAACCCTAACATCGTGCTAGAGCACTCAAAATCGTAACCCTAAAAAGAGAGAGGGAATGTCAAACTCAAATAAAAAGTGAAGTGAAAGCACCTACCTTATATTTTGGCGTATTAGTTTCAATGACAAGCCAAAGAGAGAGTTTTGCGTGTGCCTGCTTTAATAAGAAAAAAACTTCAAAAGCGTACTTGTTTTAACAACGGAAAGAGGTTCCTTCAGCGGTTCAGTCTTAATTTAGATGTTGGCTCCAGTACGGGTGAAAGTGCCTGGACTAAGCGTCTCACTTGACTAAGTGTGTGAATTCCTACTTTAGGCTATTAATATTTAGCTTTAGCAACTTTTACTCATTATCCCACTTTCTTCCTGGACAATATGTTTGATATGACAGAAAATGGATGGATGAAAAATAGGAGAGAAGTGACACTTTCCTCTATTTGGGTGAGAAAGGAAAACAGGGGAAAGAAGAAGGGGAGGAAAGTGTTGCTATCTAAACTTTCCAAGCGCTTGTTCTGTCATTTTTTATGCGGTTTGATTCAGTACATTGTAATGAGAAAAAGGACAAATAGGCATGTAGAAGAGTGATCCAGTACTTCTCCTGTAGAAATAGTGCGCTTTTAGGGTCATCGTCCTCTTATATTTTATGCAAATAAGTAGTTCAGTTTTTAATTTTATTACCATGTTACGTTATTATAAAAAGTATACAAGGTAAATCTACTAATAAGAAAATCTAAAGACATAAATAGTTCATGTTGCAATTTGAAGGGTTAGTGTTGTCTTAATGTATTTTTCAAGGGTAACATAAAGTGGTTCAAAAGTTTTTCAAACATCATGAGGTTTAGAAGTTTTTATTTTATTTGGTAATTTTTATATTCCTCATATTAGAATTTATAATATATGTATGTCTTTGGAGTTATTAAATTGTTGTTAGTTATTAAGTGATATTTTTAAGTATGAAGTGATATTATGTCCTTTTGAGTTGTTAAATGACAATAACGTTATTAAGTGTTTTAATAAGAATATTTTGGTTAATCATAAGTTTTTTAAGATAGTACACATTTGTATTATTGTATACAATAATACAAATGTGTACTATAGATTTGAGATTACAGCTCACTTTAGATTTGTGATAACATAATAATAATGATTGTGGATAATTGGCTTTATTAATTACATATTTGAATTACATAAAAAAATAATAAAACTTTAAGATCTTTTAAAATAAAGAAATAAAGTAATAGTTGGGGTTCCAATTTGAGGTTACCCAAATCGTAAGTATTTGGAATTTGGATTACACTATCTAACGGTAACTTTGATGATCAAGTGTGTGAACCAACTTGTTTGGTGACGTGTGACCTTGGATCGTGGGTCGCCAATTGTGGTAACGTTCAGAGCATGCATTCTAGGCGCAGAAGAAATCTGCAAAGCACCGGTGGCCATGCTAGACCTTCAGAAGCTGTACAAAATCAAGATGGACACATCTGCTCATGTTTTGTATCTGTTTATGGAAAGACGACCAAATGGTCTAATGTCATAGGTAGATGTTCAATATAGATCTCTAAAAGTATCCCTCATATGAGAATGAGAGGTATATATACACTGGCTTTGAAAGACTGACGACACTATTTGTTGGGAAGGAGGCAGATAATGAATTGGACCAGTTGGTCACTCAACAAGCCCTCTTAGTATCTAGAGATGCAGTCCAAGCCCAAGCTTCAAGAGGCACGTAAAATAGAATATATATATCAATATGTTGACAATGAAAATATGCATTTGTTAGCATATTAAGGGAAACTTTGTTAAATAATAGAAAAGAAGATTAAGAACTTTTATGTGGCATAAATTAGATATATTATGTGCTGAGCAAATTGTTTCACAAAAGAAATTCGTGGATAAAACTACTATTTTGTACATCTTTCAGTCTGCAATTTTCTGATGTTTGAAGATTCTTTACAGGTGGATGTGATTAAGTTGATATTATTTCTGATGTATATCCGTGGAGAACATGCAATATGGATCTGAGTTTTCTTTCCATCCTCTGCTGCCCTATAGAATTTGCTAGCATCAACAGGGATAGTAAAACAATGTAGAGTTTTTTTTTTTCAGGGTTCTCATCATATTAGCAACGTAGTTTGGTAGCAATTTTGTTCTTGCTTAGTTCCTTTTTCTCAGTTTCAACTGAATGTGGCTTCTCCTAGACCATGCTCAAAAGTAGTTAATATCCAACAACTTTAAAATTGGTAGAAAATCGATTGGATGGTGAATATCGATAGTAAGGAGAATTGGAGTAGCCATAATGTAGCAATTTTAGATAACTGGAAAAACTTGTACTTATGGATGCATATTCAGATTTGCTGTTTGTTCTGGTTATTGTAACTTGTCCCAACTTCTTGTAATAAAAGATTTCCAAGTTTCCTTTGATACTTATTATTAGCTTTGGATGGCAGATTATATGAAACCGGATACAGAGACGTATAACTGGGTGATCCAAGCATATACAAGAGCTGAGTCCTATGATAGGTGATCTCTGTCACACATAGCTATTCTGATTTATTATGACTACATATGATGAAGCCAGACTGTTTGTAGGACTTATTTTAGTCAACTTGAGTTTCTGGATTGATCAATGTAGACTTTGATGAGTTCAAGCTAGTAAAATTTGTCATCGACCACTCTGCATAAACTGAGCCACAATAGTCACTGCCTTTTGTGTCCATCTCATTTGGGCTCTGAACATAACAGCATAAAAGCATAACATTCTTGTGAGTTCTTATACAAACTTGTTTGCTCTCTGTATTCATATTCATATTTCGTAATATCTCCTATCTGTCTAATATCTATTATCCAGATATGTGTTGTCCTCGTCCATGTCCGTTCAAGCACATACAAGTATGTTAAACACCATATGCTCTAAAAGTTTAAGCTGTTAGGGAGAGTGCAACTTAAGTATTTATACTTTAACACGCCCCTCACATGTGGGCTAGATTTTTGTCCTAGCACATGCAAATCTTCTATTTACTAGGGTGGTGGCGAGATTCGAAGATAGGACCTTTTGTTCTAATACCATGTTAAACACCAATACTCTAAAAATTTAAGTTGCTAAAGAGAGTTCAACTTAAATATTTATACTTTAACAAAGTATACATGAAATAAATCTCCATTGTCATACATAAGAAGTATTAATTTCGTGCAAGGAGTACATGAATAATCTGCCAACTGCAAAGTGTGCAATATGATGGTGAAAGCATGGACTTTAGGCTATCAGTCTATTTGCAATTGGAATCATATAATTGGCCCTGATTGAAGTGCTTGTCTAGTTTAGGAGTTTTCTTTCATGCCTATTGGGCATATCATGGCTTATTTTTATGTGGTTTATCCTGTAATTTATTGGGATTTCTACACTCTAGAAATATACACATAACCCCAATAGTTTCTGACCACTGAAACCATTAGGTTTTCCATTCAAGTTGCGGGCAAGTGATTTACATGCACAAGAAAAATTGGCATTGGGCAAAGAGTGAAATGTTTAATTTCAAAAGTATGGTTTCTAATGCCCATAACACCCTTATATACACACCAGTATCACTCTCTCATGCATAAATACTTGTACACTACATACAATCTCTTGCCTTGGCAAACATTGATCCGATAATGATACACGATACAAGACTATCACGAGTCTACCATAAATCGGTTCTGACTCGAGCCAACCGGTACAACTCAGACAAATTCGGATTCAACTCAGACAAACTTGGTCGATTTACTTTCGAATAGAACTAATACGTACAGAATCGTTCAAGCAACAAAGAAAATGTCAAAAAAAGGCAAAAAAGATGAGAAATTGTACCCTAAATTAAACCCCTTTTACCATAATAAAACAAAACAAGGAAGTTAAAACAAAATTGAACACAAACATGAAAAGTTGTGATAATTAGAGGCCATTTTCTACTATTTGTTCTTATTTTCCTTCTTCTTTGTAGTAACAGAGGACCCAACATCATCGATCAACATCACAGATCAATTGCAGAAACCCTAGGTTGCTTGACGATCGGACTACTCAAATAGCAGAAGACCCAGCCCTCACGAAGACTCTCGAGTAGCAGAGACCCATCGTCTCTGTGCTCTCTCCTCTCGTTTTCTATTCGTCGTAGTCTGAGAGTTGAAGAGAGAGGCTTTTGGGTCAAAATAGTGAGGCTTTGGCCTTATGAGACCCAAAAATTTATTCCCTCCCTTCTTTTTGTTTTTTCGGTTTTGACCCAAATTTTTTAATTATATAATTTTTAGTATTTATAACATAATCTAATTAGAATTTAACTTCTTAAGTGTTTTTTTGAATATGTATTGATGATTTAATAATTAAATGTACATAATAGAGAAAATACATATAATCATCATACATAAAATACATATACATATAATCGATCTAATTAGATGCATAATAAATGATCAAATGAAGAATTTTTTTATAAATAGATTTTCATTTTTAAAGCTATTAAGTTAACCATATATATACACTTATATTTTTTTATAATTTTTAAAAATTACAAATTAAATTATATTAACCTTGAATATAAATGATAATAAATATTTTCTGGTAGCATCTTTATTATTCTTTTTTGCAATGATTAATATATTAAATAATGTCTTTTAGGGATATGATGCATTGATGATGATGTTTACATTTATTATAATTTTTTTAAAATTTTTAAAATTTTTTGAGTCTTTTATATAATGTTTTGGGCGTATACACCGATACTGTGCCGCGATGCTGAGACAGATGTGTCTCAGTGACCCCCAAGTTAAGGGCCGATGCCGCGACCTTAAACCATGACTTCAATATTTCTTCTTCTCCATTGCCATAACTCCCATGTCTATGTAGTTTTATGTCATTCCCTCCATAACCAGGTTTCTTAGGCTCGAACCAGTAGAATGTCAGGTTATTTTAATTAAAGGTATTATTGGTATCTACAGTTTATTATGGGTTAATATAAATACGGGTGATGAGAGGAGCAGCTAATTATCTCTCATTCTTCTTAACCTTACTTTCTAATCGCTTCATTCTCTTATCTTCTCTCTTACCTATACTCTAAATCCTAGAAAGTTCGAAGTCACTGAAATACTCAAGAAGACGTTGGGAGTATGCTGGTGTTGCTAACATCATCATCGGAATGATGACGTCTTTGCTAGAGATGACCAAACTTGACATGGTCTGAGTTGATTTTGCCTCTTGAGTATGATGGTGATTTTTCTAGAATTTTTTGAAGCCATCTGATGTGTTTCTAATTTTGAATGTTTTTCGGAATTTTTGGGTCATATTTTACGATCTACTACTTGGCAGAGTTTGCGACCAGTCCAACCACTCTAATGTAACACGTGGATGCCGACTAGGTCTTCTAAGAGCTATGATTGAGTTTTGTGCACAACCCCACTAAGCTTTTGGGCATTTAAGAGGCCCGGTAATTGGCAGTACCTTTTTGGCTCTGGGTGTATTGCTCCGACATGGTTTTTTTCTTGCTCTAGCAGTTATGTTTTGCTCTAAGTAGTGATGTTTGGACTCACCAGTGTTTCTCTTGGTTCCAACAATGACGTTTGACCCTCGGTTGTGATTTGTTTGTGCCCACAAAGTTTGGACTGTATTTTGATAGTTATAGCTTCTGTAAAGGACCTTTTGTATTGCTATTTGCTAGTTTGGTCCTATTTTGTATTGGGTTAATCTCAAAATTGCTATTCAATAGTTGGGTTGTGTTAAAAAAATTCTTTGCTTTTGAGTAGATATGTTCAGAGTTAGTGCAGAATCTACCAGTATCGAGAAAGGTGGGGTGAGTCGTGTAAGGACTCTAGGGTGCAACTCTTTTATTCAGATCTGTTAAGTTGAGTGAATTAACATAACACAATATTAGAGAGAAAGAGAGGTTAAAAACTTAACCTAACTCTCATACATCACTTGTATGTATAGTTAACCTACAGTAATAAGAATTACATATATACTCTCTTATTATTAACAATTTACACATACTATCCTATTATTCTTAACACTCTCCCTCAAGTTGGACTACATATATCATATAATCCAATTTTGGAATAAATAGTTGTAAGTCGTGTACGACTCAATGTTTTGGTAAACATATCTACAAGCTGATCTTCAGATTTCACAATTGGAGTTGTAATCTCTCCAGCTACTATCTTGTCCCGAATAAAGTGACAATCAACCTCAATATGCTTAGTTCTCTCATGAAACATAGGATTGACAGCGATATGGATAGCTACCTGGTTGTCACAGAACAACTGTAAAGGAAGTTGAACTGGAAACCTAATTTCCTGAAAGAAGTGTAGTAGCTAAATCAACTCACTCGTCGTATGTGCCATTGCCCTATACTCAGCCTCAGCACTGGATCTTGCTACCACTGGTTGTTTCTTACTTTTTCATGAGACAACATTACCTCCTAAGAAAGTACAATAACCGGTGGTTGATCTCCGATCAGAAGGAGAGCTAGCCCAATCAGCATCTGAGAAACCTTCCACTTTAAGATGTCCATT